ACACCCTGGAGGAGCAGCCTAGCTTTTCCCAGAGGGACCGCTGCCATGTGGCTTCACTGCTGTCCCTGGCCCTGCACGGCAAGCTTGAGTACCTGACCGACATCATGAAGACTCTGCTTGGTGACCTGGCGGCCCATTATGTACACAAGAACCCCAAGCTCATGCTGCGAAGGTTGGCCTTGACCTGGGCACTGACCTATCCCCACCCCACCCTGAGCAGGCTCTGCCCCTGGGGTGGGCAGGGCCTGGCACCCCCAGGAGGTGGCTTAGAAGGGAAGTACAGGGACATCCTCACCGGGGACCTGGGGCCTGCTCTCTACAGGACGGAGACCATGGTGGAGAAGCTGCTCTCCAACTGGCTGTCCATCTGTCTCTACGCCTTCCTGAGGGTGAGGGGCCCTGGGTGGCACTGTTCCCCCCTCCCAACATTTGGGGCTGCCTGTGGCCTATCTGACCTGTGCCCAAATCCCCCAGGGGGCTTGGTCAGGCCTCAGGGAAGCCATCAAAGGAGAGGCCTAGCAATGGGGCTCTCAGAAAGTCCAGCTGCCCTCGCCACTCCCCACGCCCTCTGCCTGGCCTGCCGGCCCCATGGCTGATGCTGGCCCGTCTCGGTGGTTGCAGGAGGTGGCTGGTGAGCCACTGTACATGCTCTTCCGGGCCATCCAGTACCAGGTGGACAAGGGCCCTGTGGATGCCGTGACAGGCAAGGCAAAACGGACCCTGAATGACAGCCGCCTGCTGCGGGAGGATGTGGAGTTCCGGCCCCTGACGCTGATGGTGTTGGTGGGCCCTGGGGCTGGTGGGGCCACAGGGGGCAGTGAGGCGCAGCGTGTGCCGGCCCGGGTGCTCGACACGGACACCATCACCCAGGTCAAGGAGAAGGTGTTGGACCAAGTCTACAAGGGCACCCCCTTCTCCCAGAGGCCCTCAGTGCATGCTCTGGACCTTGGTGAGAGCCAGCCCCGCCCACCTGTAGCTGCTCAGCTCTGCCTTGTTGCCAATGGGGTACTTGGAGCTGTGGCTGAGCAGCTTCCCTGGGTCCCTCCAGAGTGGCGCTCAGGTCTGGCTGGCCACCTAACCCTATCGGATGAGGACTTGACCTCGGTGACCCAGAACCACTGGAAGAGACTCAACACCCTGCAGCATTACAAGGTGCTGGGTGGGGACAAGGCAGGGTGGGGTGGGAGCAGGGCAGGCCCTGCCTGGGGACAGCCAGGGAAGGGGCCCAGACTCTGCTCCCCCATCCAGGTCCCAGATGGAGCAACAGTGGGGCTCATCCCTCAGCCGCACGACGGCAGCACCGTCTCCCAGAGCCAGGCCCACAGCCACCCCTCAGGAGAGAGTGAGTCTCTTGACCCAGACGCGCACTCTGTGCACAGGAGCACGAACAGGGCAGGAGTCCGCCTTGCCGTGGGCAAACCAGTGCTCCAGCAGAGCCAAAGGCCGGGGCTCCGGAACCATGGGGTGTCGTGCTGAACAAGACCCTGGGCCGCCATCGTCCCCTCCCGGTCTCCCCCATCCCTTCTTCCCATCTCTCCTTCTGCCCCACAACCTGCCCTACCCTGTGGGGAGGGGGTGTGGCATCCCAGGCCTGTGGGGTGCGGGCAGGAGTGCTACACTGAGGCTGGCCTTCCCTGCCCTCAGACATCCCCATGCTGGAGGATGGTGAGGAGGGCGGGGTCCGCCTCTGGCACCTGGTGAAGGCCACGGAGGAGCCAGAGGGGGCCAAGGTGCGGCGCAGCAGCCTGCGGGAACGGGAGCGGGCACGGGCCAAGGCCATTCCAGAAATCTACCTCACCCGCCTGCTCTCCATGAAGGTCAGTGTGGCCAGGGGAGCCAGGCCCCAGGGAAGGTCACCAAGGGGATGTCCTACTGAGCTGGGGAGTGAGTGGGGTCCTAGAGGGGCAGCCCTGGCCACTGATGTTCCCCACACCTTGCCCTCCACATGGCCCTCGTCCCCTGCCTGGCAGGGTACACTGCAGAAGTTCGTAGACGACACCTTCCAGGCCATCCTCAGTGTGAACCGCCCCGTGCCCATTGCTGTCAAGTACCTGTTTGACTTTCTGGATGAGCTGGCAGAGAAGCATGGCATCGAGGATCCCGAGACCCTGCACATCTGGAAGACTAACAGGTGACTTTCCTGCTGACACCCCCACCCCACTGTGTAGGTGAGTCCCAGAGGAACAAGGACAGTCACAGGGCAGGGGTAGCAGGTCCAAGACAGGAACTCAGGCTTTGTGGCATCCACCCTGGGTTTCTGGCCCCTCAGTGAGAACTCACGGGAAGATCGGGGCCCAGCTGAAAATCAGGGCCAAGGCCCTTGGCCGATGGCATGTGTTGCCTAAGGTCCCTGGCTCCAGAAGGCCAGCGTGCCCATGGAAGGGGTGGGCTGGAGCGTAACAGGAGGTGGTTACAGTGGCAGGCCAGGGCCTAACACCCACCCTGGCCCATGTCCCCAGTCTGCTGCTGCGGTTCTGGGTGAACGCCTTGAAGAACCCACAGCTCATCTTTGACATGCGGGTGTCTGACAACGTGGACGCCATCCTCACAGTCATCGCCCAGACTTTCATCGACTCCTGCACCGTCTCGGAGCATAAAGTGGGCCGGGTGAGAGCAGAGTTGCTGCAGCAGGGGGCAGCCCTGGCTGGGGAGTGGCAGCATAATGGGGGCCAGGAGGTGGCTGGTGGCTCCTTCACCTCCCAGCTCACATCCAGCACCTCCCCCACTCGGAGCAGGATTCCCCGGTGAATAAGCTGCTCTACGCCCGGGAGATCCCTCGCTACAAGCAGATGGTGGAAAAGTAGGTGTCAGAGCCATCAGGGCCGGGGGCTGGCGCTGCCTCACCCCTAACTCTGTCCACTCCTCCAGATACTACGTGGACATTCGCCAGAGCTCCCCGACCAGCTACCAGGAGATGAACTCGGCCCTGGCTGAGCTCTCTGGGGTGAGGCATGACCCAGGGGCACAGCCCTCCACATTTCAGGGGAAAGACTATCACAGCAGGGAGGGACTTTGGGGCTTGAGGCCCAGGCTGGGGCCTCACCGCCCCCTGTGTACTGCCCCCAGAATTACACCTGTGCTCCCCACTGTCTGGAGGCTTTGCAAGGCCTGTACAACCACATCCACAGGTACTATGACCAGGTGAGGCCCAGGGCACCCCAGGGAGGGGCAGGTGCTGGGAGTGAGGCGCAGTGAAGAGGAAGGCCCATGGAAGCTCCCTAGCAGTGGCCCGATCCAGGCGGGGCAGAGGGAGGGTGCCAGCCTGTGTCAGAAGGGCCCAGGCTGGGGAGGGGGCTGGGCTTCCATCCAAATTCCCCAGGGAGGCCCGAGGCAGCCCTCACTGGATCTCCAGGCTCTTACTGAGATGGGAGCAGGGCTGGGTGGCCCTGGGCCAGTGGGCAGGGGGTAGGCCTCAGACAGGCACCCTCCTCGACCCTGGCAGATCATCAGCGCCCTGGAGGATGAGCCACTGGGCCAGAAGGTGCAGCTGGCCTGCCGCCTGCAGCACGTTGCTGCCCTGGTAGAGAACAAAGTGACTGACCTGTGAGCTTGGGCCACCAGCTTAGAGAGCAGCCAGCAGGACCTGCTGCCACAGGACTGAGCCAGTGACCAAGGAGGGGCCAGCAGAGCCTGGGGTGCTATGCCCAGCAGCAGGCTCCTGCCCACCGCCTGCCCCACCAGCCTGCCTGCCTCCCCCACTCGGGCTTGTTTCTAATTTATAATGGTTCCTCCTCCTCCCTTCCCCCCACTGTATTTATTTGCTTGGTGGAGAATCACATCTGGAAATAAAACCGACATACATCTTTCTAGAAAAAGCCCAATCCCCAGCCCCTGCATTCCCCTGCAAGACTCAACTTGCTAGCCCATGACTGACCTGCTGCACAAGAAAAAAGAGACCATCAGGCAGCCTTGGGCTCTGCTCTCCTCCCCACCCGCATCTCCCCTGGCCCCACAGGAAAGCTGCCCCCCTCCGTCTATACCCGTCCCACCCCTACCAGTTCTTTCCTGGCACAGGTGTCTCCCACCTTGGGACCACCACTATCACTGCGAAGCCACCTCTGCTTCATTTGGCCCCCAATGGTCCCCAGCTGGCCTCCCAGCTCCACATTTGCCCCTCTGTCCCCCTCTTGAAGCAGCCACAGTGATCTAAGAGCAGAGGTGCTTGTCGGTCTCTGCTGAAACCCCACGCTGGTACCCCCAGGCTTCAGGTGGGGCCCCTTGCCCATCCCCCAACCATGCTGCAGCAGTGGCCAGCACGTGGAGGCTTCAAATGCCCCCTCATGGGGACCCAGGTGGCCCACGGTGGGCAGTGGCTATGGGCTGGCTTGTTCCCCAGAGGTGGATGAGGTGCCCTGAGCTCATGCCCTGACCCCTCCTCTGCCGGGTGTCCCCAGTGATACCAGTGTCCCCAGTGATTCAGAGAGAGCACTGGCTCCCACCTGTCTTAGGTGTGACAAGCTACAGGAAAAGCAGGACCTTCTAGGAGTGGGTGGAAATGGGGCTCCAAAAGGAATGGGAGGGGTCTCCTCCAGGAAGATACCACAGGGACAAGTGGGAAGTCTGAGAACATTCTAAAAGCACCATCAGTGCCCTTGGGCACAGGGTAGGGTACCAAGTCACCATGTGAACCATGTCCTTTCAAGGGTGGCCCTCCGTAATCAGCCCTGGAGAGCAGGGGCTTGGCCTGGGGTACGGTTACTTCCTCCGGGTGTAGGTGGGTTGTGGGGGCTGATCCTGGGGACGAAGTCACCACCACCTTGCCCCCAAGCAGTAGCCCCCTCTCCCCCTAGGGCGGGTGCAGAGCAGGAGGGCTGTCTCTGCGCCGCCCCCTCCCCGCGACACATACCTTGACCACAGCAGAGCAGCTGGGAGGCTATTTATAAAGGCGGGTGAGATCAGCGGCCCGAGGCTATAAATGCGCAGGCTGCGGCAGGGCCCCATTTGAGTAGCCGCCTGGGGCGCCGGAGCTGCGGGCTGCGGACTGCGTGGCCACAGCCGGGATGAGTGCCAGTGCGGGCAGGGGTGGCGGTGGCGGAGACAGCGGCAGCAGCAGCAGGTAGGGCTCGGCCCGGGCACCCGGGGCCCCTGGCGCCTCGCGCGCTCACTGCCCGCCCACCCCACCTGCAGCTCGCAGGCCTCCTGCGGGCCCGAGTCCTCGGGCTCTGAACTAGCCCTGGCCACGCCAGCACCCCGAATGCTACAGGGGCTCCTGGGCTCTGATGACGAGGAACAGGAGGACCCCAAGGACTACTGCAAGGGTGAGGCTTGGCCTTGGGCGCATGCAGCCATATGCCACTGCAGGGGCCCTGGACAGAGCAGGCCCAAGTGGGCTAGATGGCCAGCTGGGCTGAGCTGTCCTGGGGGGTAGGGGAGGAAGAGGTCCCCCGTGATCTATCAGCTCCCTTCGGCAGGCGGCTACTACCCAGTGAAGATCGGTGACCTGTTCAATGGGCGGTACCACGTGGTGCGCAAGCTGGGCTGGGGCCACTTCTCCACCGTCTGGCTGTGCTGGGACATCCAGTGAGTGTCCCCTTTTGCCTTCAGGGCACAGCGCTGGCTGGGATCCTGCCGCTGGCCTTGGTTGGGGCCACCACAATGTACCCCTGTGGCTCTGGCCAGGGCCGCAGCCTACAAGGGCGTTGGTATTGCAGGCGCAAGCGCTTTGTGGCCCTAAAAGTGGTGAAGAGTGCAGGGCATTACACAGAGACAGCTGTGGATGAGATCAAGCTCCTGAAATGTGTGAGGCACCTCCCCTACCCTCTCCTAGCTCCCCTGGAGCTGCCTGGGGCCTGGTGATGTGGGTGCAGGGCCTGCTGGGGCTTGGCGGGGCAGGGCGGGGCTCTGAGGGGCAGACTCCAGCTGGCTCTGCCGGAGTGGGAGGACCTGGCAGAGGGACAGGAGGGGCCAGTGGCCTTTCCCTTCAGCAGGACCCAGCTGGAGCAGGAAGGGTGTGGGGGAGAGGTGCTTCAGAGGATGCCGAAGGGAACAGTTGGTGAGGGGCAGGTTGGAACCACCTGTGGTCCTTTGGCTTTTGCTCCAGGTTCGGGACAGCGACCCTAGTGACCCCAAAAGAGAGACCATTGTCCAGCTCATTGATGACTTCAGGATCTCAGGCGTTAACGGAGTCCGTATCCTTTGCTGGATGAGCAGTGTGGCAACAAAGGGACCAACTAATGCCTTCCCAGCTACTTGAACCTCAGTTTGCTGATCTGCACGATGGGGCTTTATCCCTCCCAGTGGCACTAGTCTATGAAATAACCCCACCCCTTTGGGTAACTGTGCCTACACGGGGGGAGACCAGGTTGTTGTTAGTGATCCACGGACGTTGCTTAGTTACCCCCAAGTGACAGGGGGCTGCCTCTGCAGCAGTGCCTTCCTTTTGGGGGACTGCCAAGATGCCCTTTAACGTAACTGGGCATAGCGGTGAGGCAGGCCTGAAAGGCCTCCATCTCTGCCCCTCCAGTTGTTCCCTCTCTAGTATGACCACAAAATGTACCATCCTGACCGGCACACCTCGAGTGACAGGGACACTATAAATAATGCTGGGATAATGGTGACCGCCAGGACCGCCTGGGGCTGAGGGTGGGTGGGGCCTATGCCCCAGCTGTGTGCCCACTGGCCACCTTCACTCCTGGCCACAGACGTGTGCATGGTGCTGGAGGTCCTGGGCCACCAGCTCCTTAAGTGGATCATCAAGTCCAACTACCAGGGCCTGCCTGTGCCCTGTGTGAAGAGCATTGTGAGGCAGGTGAGTGCTACCCACTCGGCTGCCCAGTCCAGCCCAGCTGGGGCTGGTGCTCAGGTGTGGCCCTCCCTAGGTGCTGCATGGCCTGGACTACCTCCACACCAAGTGCAAGATCATCCACACAGACATCAAGCCTGAGAACATTCTGCTGTGTGTGGGCGATGCATACATCAGACGCCTGGCAGCCGAGGCCACGGAGTGGCAGCAGTCAGGGGCCCCGCCCCCACCCCGTTCCACAGGTACCAAGAGCCTGTACAGGATGGGGCAAGGGCCTCTGGGCCTCAGCTCTTGCCTGAGCCTCTGTTCCTCTCTCCCCGCACCCCAGTCAGCACCGCCCCCCAGGAAGTCTTGGTAAGTCGGGATACCCCTTTGCCCATGCCTCCTCTCTCCGCCTGAGCGAACTGGGGCCATCTCTCCAAGCTCAGGCCCTTAGCCACACTGGCTCCACCCCACCTCCATGGCACTCCTGCCTGGATGAGTGAGGCACAGAGTGGGTCACATGTCCCAAACCGCCTCAGTGGAAGGACACTGTGTCTTCTCCTAATGGTCACTTCAGGCCACCTTAGGTGGGGTCGGGAGGGGACAGGGAACAGATCTTCTCCCTCCTATAGAGCTTTAGGGAGTGGGACAGGCAGGGAGGCAGAGAGATGGGTGAGGAACTGGTGCCAAGGGTGGGCCAGAGGGTGGTGGTGCCACATTCTGGCATCCAAGGGAGCCCTGGGGCCTGGAGGCCTTGTCCCTTATTGGGTGTGCAGGGAAACTCCCACTGTCAGGCTGACTAGGGGTGGGCGCCAGGAACCTTGGGGTGACCCTGGCTCTGACAGCAGACCGGTAAGCTGTCCAAAAACAAGAGGAAGAAGATGAGGCGCAAACGGAAACTGCAGAAGCGACTGCTGGAGGAGCGGCTGCGGGACCTGCAGAGGCTGGAGGCCATGGAGGCGGCGGCTCAGGCCGAGGGTGAGGCACCGGAGGGGTGCCGGGCCCCAGCGCAGCATGGGCCACATGGTACACGCTCACATGCTGCCTCTACCTCATCTCCTCAGACTCCAGCTCAAGACTAGAGGGGGGCAGCGGCTCCACCTCCTCTTCAGGCTGCCACCCTGGGGGGGCCGGGGCAGGCCCCTCCCCAGCTTCCTCCTCCCCGACCCCAGCGGGTGACCGCAGCCTCAGCCCCTGTTCGCAGAGCTCCGGCTTCTCGGGCTCCCTCTTCTCTCTTGCTTCGGGCTCCATCCTCTCTGGCTCGTCCACTCAGCGTGAGACCGGGGGCCTCCTGTCACCCAGCAGTAAGTTGAGTGGCGGGCACCAGGTGGCAGGGCCAAGAGGAGTCGGACCAGCTCAGTCTCTCTCCCTTCTCTTCCTTCCCCAGCATCATTTGGTGCCTCAAACCTCCTGGTGAACCCCCTGGAGCCCCAGAACGCAGACAAGATCAAGGTCAAGATCGCGGACCTGGGAAATGCCTGCTGGGTGGTATGACAGAGCCCTGCAGTGCAGCGCTGGGGGCCTTGGTATGAGGGTGGAGGCACAGGCCCACTCTTGGGGAGCCCCCCCACTACAGGCCTGTGGTACACACGACCCACTGGTTCAGCTGGGGGCACGAGCTAGCATCAGTCCTGCCCAGTCAGCAGAACTGGGCCATGGCAAGGGGCAGGGGCCTACTAGGAAGGGGCCAGTCCCCTTCCAGGGAGATGTGGGGACCCTGAGGCTCAGAGCAAGCCCCATCAGAGCTCCTTGGGTGCACAGACCAGAGGTGGGCGTGGGGTTCACTGGGGCAGGCTAGCCTTGGTCCCCAGCTCCTGTCCCCAGGGCTCCCCTTGCCTCCAGCACAAGCACTTCACTGAGGACATCCAGACGCGGCAGTACCGGGCCGTGGAGGTGCTGATCGGCGCTGAATACGGCCCCCCAGCGGACATCTGGAGCACGGCGTGCATGGTACGCCTGCCGGGCTGCTCTGCGCCCAGGCCCTCTGGCTCTCCTGCCAGCAGCCTCACCTTCTTCCCAACTTCCAGGCCTTTGAGCTGGCCACCGGTGACTACCTGTTTGAGCCTCACTCTGGAGAAGACTACAGTCGCGATGAGGGTAGGGCAGGCGGGCCCTGGGCTCAGCCTCGGGGCCTCCCAGGCCCCCACCTGCACCCCAACCTCCTCTCCGTCCGCAGACCACATCGCTCACATCGTGGAGCTTCTGGGAGACATCCCCCCGGCCTTCGCCCTCTCGGGCCGCTACTCCCGGGAGTTCTTCAACCGGAGAGGTGGGTACCTGAGCAGGCTCAAGCCACCTGGCCGTGGGGAGGGTGGGGCAGGGCTCTTGTGTTCTGAAATAGAGGGAACCCAGAAGCCACAGGCCTTCCTGGCAGAGCCCAAGTACCAGGCAGGCCTGGGGACGGACCCTGACGCCCACCTGACCCACCCTCAGGAGAGCTGCGACACATCCACAACCTCAAGCACTGGGGCCTATACGAGGTACTCATGGAGAAGTATGAGTGGCCCCTGGAGCAGGCCACGCAGTTCAGCGCCTTCCTGCTGCCCATGATGGAGTACATCCCCGAAAAGCGGGCCAGCGCGGCCGACTGCCTCCAGCACCCCTGGCTCAACCCCTAAGCCCTGCCTCCCAGCTCTCAGTGCCTTGAGGGAAGCAGGCCAACTCCCGCCGCACTGCAGGAGCTGCCCTCTGCCCCCCACCCCCATGGCAGGGCAGACAGATGCAGGGCTAGGGACCAGGCCCATCTTTCAGAATGTGTTCTGCTCACGGTCCTCCTGCAGAGTCCTCAGAGGGGGAAAGAAGTGTGTGTGTCTCTTTCTTAATAAAGTGTGAACTGAAGCACCCGCGTCCTAGAGTGAGGGAAGCACGTGGCCAAGAGCTGGGGCAGAAGCTAGTTTATTCTGGGGTCTGCCTACCGAGCTGGCTGAGGGTGCTGGGGTAAGGGAGGGATCTGAGGAGTGAGCCAGGATGGTCCCAGAGACAACCTAGGCCTCCACGGCCCTGCCATTGATGATGCGGATGTGGCGGATGATGTCCTGGATGGCTTCGGATGTGGTGCCCTGGCCCCCGATGTCTGGAGTGTGCATCTGTAGGAGATGGGCTAGCTGGGGCACACACCAGGCCCCGCCAACACCCTCCACCTCACAGGTGGCCCATGGCTACCCACTGTCTCCCATGGCTTGCAGGGGCTGGAACTGCCACCAAGGGGGCAGTGGTACCAGCTAAGGCCCAGAAACCCTATCTATCTGGTACTATCCTCACTTTGGGGCCCCAGGCCCCAGTCAATCCGGATTAGAGGAGGGAGGCTGAGGGGCACGGGAGGGAACAAGAGGAGCCTCACGTTTTCATTGTCCATGGACGCCAAGACAGCCTTGCGGATGGAGGTGGCATAGGAGTGGAGCCTAGAGGAGGGGAGAACCAGATTCGGTCCTCAGGGCCTAGAGGCTGACCAGCAGGTTCACGGCCAGGCATTGGGAAGCCACTTACTTGAGGTGGTCTAGCATCATGCAACTCGCCAGCAGAGTAGCTGTGGGGTTGGCAATGTTCTTATTGGCGATACTCTTGCCTGTGTTCCTCGTAGCCTAAAAGAGGCAAGATGGAGGAGAGTAGGTGGAGAATGTAACAACATAGAGCAGATGATTCTACTCACGTGAAGCATCCAGAGACAGGAAGCAGATGAGTGGGTGCTAGGGAGGGACTGGGGAGGGTCTGCTAATTGGGACAGGGTTTCCTTTTGGGGTGATGAAAACGTTCTAGAATGAGACAGTGGCGATGGTTGCCCGACTCTGGATATTCTAAAAACCATTGGATTGTGCACTTGGAATGGTCAAACAGCATGCTACGGGAATCATACCACAACAAGGCTGTAAGGGGAAGACCGTGGGGCTGCACCTGAGCCTTGGCGTTTCTGGTGGCACTCACCGTCTCAAACACTGCGTACACGTGGCCATAGTTGGCCCCAGCCACGAGGCCTGGGCCCCCGACCAACCCCGCACAGACATTGTTGACGATGTTGCCGTAGAGATTGGGCATCACCATGACATCAAACTGCTGGGGCCGAGACACTAGCTGTGGGGCAAGGAAGGGGCTGAGGAACAGATTTGGGAGCACGAGTCCAAGAAGCACAGGGCACCCAGGGCAGGAGGTGACAGAGCTGTGTAGGCTACCTACCTGCATGGTGGTGTTATCCACAATCATGTTCTCGAAGGTGATCTGGGGGTAGCGGGCTGCCACCTCCCTACAGCACTGGAGGAAGAGCCCGTCACCCAGTTTCCTAGAAAGGGGAGGGAACAGGACACTAGCTCGGTCCATCACAATTAGCCAGAGGGCCAGGGTGTGCAGAGAGCCACGGCAGGCTGAGGTCTAACTTCTAACCTGCTCCTCACCTGCAGCAAGGGCATAACCCTGTTCCACCTCCCCTAAGTGTGGGCTGTGGCAAGGTCCCGGGGCAACAGGGCACACACCTGGGTGTGGTGTGGCCCCCTGGTAGGTGGCTGAGGTCTTGGATGCTAAGGCCCTGAGAGCAGGCCCAAGTGGGCTGCTATAGCTGCTTCAGGGCTACTCACAGAGGGGGCAGGATGGGAGGGACATACATGATGTTGGCTTTGTGCACGGCCGTCACTTTCTTGCGCCCACTCTCCTGGGCCAGCTTGAAGGCGTATTCAGCAATACGCAGGGACTTGGCCTTGGTGATGATCTTCAGGCTCTCCACTACTCCTGCCACACTCTGAGAAGGGGACAGGGGAGAAGGGACCCGTGTCCTGTTGGGGCCTGCCTCAGAGAGCCCATCGGAGAGCCAAGCTGGCCAAGTGGGCTGGCACGACGAGGGCACAGTGGGAAGCAGCCCTGTCTCTCGGTATTTCTGGCTTCTCCCTTAAGCACAGGCCCCGACGCTTTGAGGTATGCCTGTTTCTGGTTCTTTAAGGTCTCCCCTCAACATGGACCATGGCCAAGCTCATCCCTAGCCCCCATGACTCAAGAGGGTAACCCAGGCCTTGCCGACCTCATGCTCCAGGCTGCTGTACTCGCCCTCTGTGTTTTCCCGGACGATGAGGATGTCTATGTCCTTGTGCCGGGTCACCACTCCTGGCAGGCTCTTACAGTGGATGACATTGGCGTAGAGGTCCAGGCTGGTGCTGGGAGGAGACAGAGAAGAGGCAGGCTAGGCCTGATTGGCAGCTGGCCAGGACCAGACTCTGCTGGCACACCTCACCCAGGCCCCCACCAAGCCACAGCCCCATGCGCTTGGCTCTCACCGAAGGATGTTGTTTCGGGATTTGTGGGATGGTGGCAGGTTATGGTTTGTTTCAATGTTGCCTACAGAACACAAAACAAGACAGGCAGGCTGGAGAGGGCCCCCCCAGGCTCAGCCTTGGTGTCACATTCCTGACCCAGGGAATGTGTGCCAAAGGCTGCTTGAATCAGAGGAGATTTCAGCAGCAAAAATACTTCGTGGTATACTAGAATGCAACTTCCAACGTAAGCCCCATGAGGGCAAAGCGGCATGTGTGTGTGTTTTGTTCACTGATGGGTTCCCAGGATCTAGATGGCACCTGGCACATAGAAGGCACCCTATTTACTGGGTGAATGAATGTACAAATGAATGAAGAAGGGTTGGCAGCTGGCCAGCAGGCCATGCCATCGCCCATCCAGGGTCTGGCTCAATAGAAAGTGACCATTCCTGCTTACTAACAGGCTGGCTGGTCAGGCCAACGCCAGCAGGGTGACCTTGACCATGGTTACTGTCAGGCCCCACATCAAGGTACCACACAAGCCCCCACTCAGGGGCAGGCAGGAGCTGCTTGGACAAGGCCAGACTGGCCCAGGGCATCCAGAAGAAGGGAAGCAGGGGGCCAGTTGCCATTGGGACCAGGCAGTGAGAGGGTACCAAGCAGAGAGGCTTTTCTCGGCAGCCCACAAGGGCCACCTATCCCTCCAAACTGTACCCTGCCCACACTAACTTCACCCAGAGTGCCCAGGGCACCCTGTGGTTGGCATGCAGGCCCCTCCACTTGACTGCCAGGGCCTGGGGCTCTACCTGGGTTCATCTTTGCTCACATGCTCCTCCCACAGAGCAGGCAATTAGCTTAAGTTTGCAGAATGAGTGACAGAAAAAGTTTAAGGACCTGAACCAAACCAAGGCAAACTCAAGAAAGGCTGCTAGAATCCTATCTGTGCCATCCACAGCTTTGCCGGCTAGAGCCAAGGCAGCAGGCAGAGGGTCAGAACTGCATCTCTGTGACATCTGGTCTGTGAAGAAAGACTCTGAGGATCAAAGCTGACCCCAGCAGAGAGGGCTATCTAAGAAGGGAACGAGCGGGATGGGAGGGAGCCTGTCACTGGACAGGCTCACACACAGCTATTTCCACCAAGATCTCAGGGTCACAGCATGAACAGGCCCACAGAAGCTTCCACCCAGTCTCCGAGCACAAGGGTCTTCTCTAGCCAGAGAAGATCTGAAATCAGAGCCGTGGGGCCCCACAAGGGTCAGCTTGGAGATATAAGGAATCATGCGTAGGGCCCCACCCTGGCCTCTGGCCCCGGAGCTCACCCTTTAGAGCCACACGGTTCCGACGGATGGCCATGATGGCATTGCGGATGTCCTCTTCATCAGCATTGGAACTCACGTGCACCTCCTCAAAGTCCACAGGCACACATGCGTGCCTGGGGCAGAGCAGGGTCAGGGAGGCTGGCCCAGGGCCTCCGCCACACCTCCTCCAGGAAGCTTGCCAGGCTGCCGGGTGCAGAGGCCCCTCCCCTGTTGCTGCCTGCCCTGACCTGGCTCTGGCTAGGGAGAGACTGGGCCCACCTGCACTGACTGATGGGGACACGCCTGAACTCCCCAATGCACACTGTTACCAGGACCGGTGCGACCTTCCCCATGTCCAGGCCAGACTGGCAGGATCAGAGGCACTGGGATGCAAGGCCTGGCCTCACAGGCCCTCCTGCCATCACCTCACCAGGTGTTCCCGGTATCCTCTTGGCACAAAGCTCTCAGGGGCCCCCAGCTGGGCCCAGGGAACAACCCTCCCTGAGGGACAAGGCAAGGAGAGGTGGGCCCAGGGTCTCTGTACCTGAACACAGACTTGACATGCAACATGAGCTCTGGCCCAATGCCATCCCCCGGGATCATAGTCACTGTGTGCCGCCCACCATACTTAGCCGACGGAGGCTGGAAGGAAGGGGATGGCGAAGGTGGGCCTTCAGGTACTCCCAAGTGCTCCCAAGCTCAGTGCCCAAGAGCTCAAGCCAGTTCCCTTCTGCCCACCAGCACTGATCCCAAAGGCTGGCTAATTGCAAGGTGCCAAACTGGGGTACGCCCATCCCACACAGGGCTGCTCATCTGGGACTCCCTGGTCAGCAGCAGTCCCCACCCCTATCTGGACTTTGGTCAACCCCAAAGCATCTAAGAGCCCCCAAATCAAACAGGCAGAGAAGAATACTCACAATTGTTTGTTGCTAGAGGGGAAACAGAAAGGAAGAAGACATAATCAGCCAAGGTTGGAAGAACAAGGCTGTGACCAAGGAACTGGGGCCTTTTTCCTGGGGATGCTGTCTAGCACAATTCAGGGAAGGGGAGAAGTGGGTAACCTCTGGAGACCGCACCTCACAGGGAAGGACGCAGAGGACCAGGGGGCAAAGAGGCACGGGCACATGTGCACACACATACATGCACACAAACACGCATGTGTAAGCGCGCGCACACACACACACAGGCAGGTACTTACTGAGGAGATGCTCCTCCAGGGGGCCTCATGGGCACCTAGAACCTGGCAAAAAGAACCCAAATACCAATGTTTGTCGTCCAGGTCAGAAAGTCAAGTTGCCCAGGGTTGGCACTGTGCGCAGATACACCCCCACTTGTGCACCACCATCCTGTGAACAATAGCACACAATATGCCCCCAGACAGATGGCTCCGAAGCCTCTGTTTTCCAAGGACTGGCCCACTGAAGCACCATGCAAAGTGGTTTCGCCCCTTCCTGCCTCCTTCAGTTCTTTGGTCAATTTATTTAAAAATGTACGTCTCCCCGCTTTTTTTGCTTCTGATTCTACCTTGGCCAATCATTCTTGCTTGGTGACATTTGTAACATGGGAAAATTGGCAAACTAAACCTGGTACCATAGGGAAATCATTACAACAAACCACAGGTCCATGACAACAATAATGTTATCACTTCTTTTATCATTTTTCCTTATTACAAAAGCGGCACACAATCACCATAGAAAAAGCAGAACAGGGAGATAACAAGCCTCCCTGAGACAAGCACTGCCAGCCCCCTGGGGAAAGGCCCCCCAGAGTAGAAACTGAAAGCAAATGTGTATGGAAATCCAGCCATTTCTAGAAGATTGAAAACAGATTCAATCTCTAGGAAGGCTTTCAGAAAGGACTGCAAAACTGCTTCATGGTCTAGCGAGATGACAAATTGTCCCCAACCCCCCGATTAGGAAACACCTGACAGCTTCAGAGTAAAAGCTAAGCCAAGCAGGCCAGGTGCTAAGAACTGACCCACTGTCCTGGAAGGAGAAAAGATGCCCATGTCCCAGGTCCCACTGCAGGAGGGCTTTCCTCTCCTCCCTGCTGTGGCCCACCTAGGAACACATTCGAGATAGTGGCAGAGCCAAGGTCCTCCTTGTCACTTAGAGACACTCTGCCACTTGCGTACCAGGCAGCAGAGTGTTCTAGCCGATGGGAGAGGCACCATGGCCATTCTTCAAAGAGCTGTGCCTTCCCACTAGAAGTCTAGAAGGCACAGGCGGAGTCTGACCGTTCCCTGTCTGGGTCCACCTGGGCAGCATTCATAAGTGGCCCACTTGCACAAGCTCTGGCAGTGCAGGTGTGCTACTCACTGGCCCAAGTCTGGGGTTAGGAGGTGGTGACTACTAGGACCAGAGCCCCAAGGGTACTTCAGCTGATCTGTGCAGCACCTGGATCTACAGCCACAGGCACACTTGGGACTTTTCTGTGTCCTTTCTAGCACCTGTCAAGGTCTGGATTCATCTTATTTGTAGGTTCTCAATATAAGTGCCCAGAAGGTGGCTAAGACAGCCCTTCCTCCAGGGAGCCTTCCCTGATGCCCTATGGCTGCTAAGTTGGGCTTGCAAGGCCCTACCTATTCTCTTCCCCCACCATCTGCGGACATCTCTCCAGGTTATGGCTGCCTTGCCTCCTCCCTAACCCCTAAGCCCCTGAGAGCAGAAGCCGTGTCTGTCTGGTCTCCCACTGCCACTCTAGGTAGGTATGCAGCACAGTGCCTGGCCCAAAGCTGGAACACAAGGAACACTGCTGAGTGAACAAGCACATCAGAAAATGAAGAAAGAAATAGAGACTAGGAGACCTCGCTTCAAATCTACCATCTGCTACTCTTGAGATGGCTTTGTGTCTTGATCTGAAATCCACAAAGGTGTCTACTTTAGGTGACTGTTGGAAAGATTCCATGAGAGGAGCTATGTGAGCTGTACACAGTCCCTAGCAGGGACTCCAGCTGTGCTAAGGCAGCCTGCCCCTTCACCCACCAGTCCCTCCAATCAGAGTTCAAGGCTGGTATCCCTGGGGGGGAGGTGGGGCTGACTCCCACTGCTTCCAACAGTAACTCCTCCTAGGCTTTAACTGTGGCAGTAGGTGAGCCAGCCTCTGGAGGACCCCCACTGGGCCTGGTTGAAAGCCTGTGCACCTCCCCCAAGGATGGCAACATCACCACCAGGGTTGAACCTCTCCTGCACTTGGTCCCTACACCAGAGGTTCCTTTGGGCTTTGGCCGATGACCCAGAGAGCTCCCCAGATAGAGACTTCCCTGACCTTACTTTACAGATGCAGGCACTTTCCTTCAGGGGGTCACAAAGGTTGCACCCAGGTTGCCCTGTATAGTTTCCAATCAAAGGAGCCCAGTATGAGGCAGGATGGGATATGCACATGCCTCCTGCTCTTCCATCATCCTTTGATAGGTACAGAGAAAGAAAGGGGTCCAGGGTAGTATGTGCTCTTGCTGAAGGGTCCCCACATGCCACATCTTAAGCCTACTGAGGGTCTGCTCTTTGGCATGTTTCTGTTCGATCAAGTGCCAAGGGTAGCTGAATGTTTTCCCAGGAAGCCCCAATTAGTGGGACCCAAGATCTGGGGCTCCTCTCTAAAGGTTCTCATACCCAGGAAAAGCAGTCTCAGGTCAAGGCACTGCCCAACTACCAATCATTCACTGTGCCCCACTCCCACCCCAACAAACACAAGCACACTCACACAGGGGAGGTCAGAGAGGAGACAAATATCTTCAAGAGCCTACAGGAACCCAGCTGCTAGAGCCATCAATGCCTCTAGAAAGCCTCTATATACTGTTGTCCTTTCATCAGCAAGTTGGAAGTCAGCATTTCAAAGAGAACTCCCTAAGGCACAAGCTTCCGCAGGGATCAGAGGGAGGAAACATAGCAAGCAGAAGTGTCCATGGGGGCCGGGCACGGTGGCTCACGCCTGTAATCCTAGCACTCTGGGAGGCCGAGGCGGGTGGATCCCTCAAGGTCAGGAGTTCGAGACCAGCCTGAGCAAGAGCGAGACCCCCGTCTCTACTAAAAGTAGAAAGAAATTATCTGGACAACTAAAAAAATTATATATAGAAAAAACTAGCCGGGCATGGTGGCACGTGCCTGTAGTCCCAGCTACTCGGGAGGCTGAGGTAGGAGGATGGCTTGAGCCCAGGAGTTTGAGGTTGCTGTGAGCTAGGCTGACGCCATGGCACTCTAGCCAGGGCAACAGAGCCAGACTCTGTCTCAAAAAAAAAAAAAAAAAGAAGTGTCCATGGGGAGTGTCAGCAAAGACACAACGTTCTGGAAGGGTTAGTATTGGCAGGATCTTTTGAGACCCCTCCCCTCACTGGACAGCGGGGAAACTGGAACCCAAAGAGAGGAGGGGACTGGCCAAGGGCCACACAATGGGTTAGTGGAGGAGCAAGGCCTGGAGGCCCGATCTCTTATATCCTGGGGCCAGCTGGCTTGCTACTGCTTCAGATGGTTTCCAACCCACCCGGGACCTAAGTTATCCTCATCTTAAGTGTGTGTAAGGAAACAGGAATCAAACCTGAATAACCAAGACCCCAGACACAGAACTTCGCAAGAAATGCCCTCTTCCCTCACAGCTTCCCGCCCGCGCCATCCTCAGAAACACTGGCTCCCTTCCATTCCAAGAGCCTCAAAGGGAAGGGCATCTGAGGCTCTAAGAATGTGGGAGGGATCATGGGTGACTAGCAAAGTCTGATTCTTTGCCACCAAGACAGGTGGCAAAGGTGTCCAAGCGAGGGAAACCCATAGAGGATCTGACTCTAGGAACGGGATTCCCAAAGCGGTACGAGAAAGGAGGGCCGGGACACGTGACTGTCTCAGAAGGGCTCCGACAAGGACACTTGGAAGGAAGGAAGTGACACCTGGCCGCCACGGCACACTCTCCCGGCCTGCCCAGAGACCCTCCGCCACCAAGTGCAAAGCCCAGGGGTGGCCGGACCAGGGCCAACTTCGGACAATCTCCTCACTGACAGCGGAGGCGGCCAATCAACCCTGGCGTGCAGCCCTCTCCCCGCCCCGCGTGGGGCCCACAGCCAATCGGACTCCAGGCTGCTCCGAGAGCAGCTGTCCCCCAACCCTCACCCCCAGCGAGCGCTGCGACTGTCCCGTGGCCTGCTCCACGCTCACCTCCCAAGGACAGCAGAGAAGGGCAGGCCTGAGTACTGCCTTCGCGGCGCCGCCGCCGGCAGCCGTCACCACCTTCAGCGCCATGATGGAAAGTGAGAGCCACCTCACGTCCCAACGCGCAGACACCGACCTCGCGAGAGTTCGTTAGGGCGAGAAGTCCTCGAGGCAGGCTCGGGCCGGGCACTGCGCACGCGCGCGGCTGCGCCGATTCCCACGCCCCCTTCCGGCGCCTAGAGCGCCTCCGCCGCCGCCGCCATCTTGGTGGGGGGGCGCGACTAGCTGGGCCTCGGCTTGGGGAGGGGACACGTCAGTGCGGCCAGCGACGTCACGAGGCCAGCTGGGCCAGCCGGCGCGTGATTGGCTTGCCGCTGCCACTTACGCGTCGCGCTTCCTCGTCTGACCCTCGTGTTCAGGGCAGGTCGCTCTCTTTTTCCCTCGGCAGAGAAGAGGCGATGGCGACGATGGCATCCCTCGGCGCCCTGGCGCTACTCCTGCTGTCCGGCCTCTCATGCTGCTCAGGTAGCGGCCTGGCCAGAGCTTCTTTCTGGCGAGCCTCTGTCCCACGCAGGTGGTGCTGGGGGGAGGAGGGGTGCGGGCGAAGCGGGGGTCTGGCCCTTCTCGGGCCCGTCGCTGGGGGCTGGGCCTTCCAACGAGAGGCAGGTCGCCTCGGGGCGCGGCAACCAAAAGCACCACACATGTTTACCCAGCAGCCAGGCTGCTGGGAGAAACAGCCATATCTTTTCCTTGTCTGCTCATGCGAAGAAAAGTCTCAGAGTCTCCACTGTCTCCCGGCCCCCAGCTCTAGCAGGGTGACACATGTCCCTGCTCCTGCTCCCAGAGGAGGGTCTGCCAGGAGCAAAGCTCTAGAGCGCAGAGCGATCGCGGCGGGGAGCCACATGGGCCGGTGCTGTGCGGGCCAGGCTTCCTCGGGAAGTGAGAGCTAAGTGAGGAGAGGGAGCAAGGACGTTCCAGGCAGAGAGCAAGAGAGGGGCGAGCGGACCTTGAGTGCCAGGCCCCATACCAGGGTTTTCAGAAGCAGAGCTGAGCTGCAGTCTCCTTGAGTGACATTCCTGAGTGATTCTTAACACCTGGTGGCGGGGTTGAGCTCTGACTGGAGTCCAGAAGGGTGTTTAGGAGGTTGTTACAGCAGCCAGCCCCCGGCCTGGGTCCTGGGCTGGGTGGGGCTGATTTCTGCACGCTCACTCTTCTGCCGCACTTCATGCCAGCGCCTTTGGTGCCTGGAGTGTTTCACCAGCCTCACTGGCCTCCCTGCCTGCACCCTTCTCACCCACCCCTCAGCAATTCCCTGCGCTGTAGCCAGGGACATTTCCAAAGGACAGACCTGGCTGCGAAACCCTTCAGGGGCTCCACAGTGTCCACAGGAAAAAGGCCCAACTCAGCAGGACACAGAAGGGCTGTGGGACCCATTCCCTGAGAACTGCCCCCCACCGCCATTCCCAGGCATCTGCCTCCTGCTGTCTAGACCCAAAACCTCCTCTGATTTCCTTAGCTTAAGCCATCACTCTGCCAGGGCATCACATTCGGAGAACAGTTGGCTGAACAGTTGGCTACCCACTTGGGGTAGCATTTGCTTCACACCCTCCCATGTAGGTGGCACCCTTCCTTTGCTGTGGTCCTCTGTGGTTATGGAGATTGCTAAGCCAGGGACCTTTCTGTCAGAGCTGCCCAGTTTGAGGGGACAAGTCGTGCCTCCAGATCCAGAGCCTCTCCCATTTGCTTCCCTCGGGAAACACTGGGACCACTCTTGTCCTTCTGTCAACTGGCTGGGGGCAGAGACCTTTTCCCTCATCTCGAAAGCCCTGTGTACTGCCTGCACCCCACTTGGTGTCTCTGCCGAGGATGCCTTCACTAAATTGGGCTGTGCATGGCTCTGAATTGAGGCTGGCCTGTCCCCCTGGGCTTCCAGGGTATTTCAGGGCCCAGGCAGGCTGTTACATGGCCTGCCCGTTGTAGATGTGGGCACTGATGTGAGTTGTACAGTGAATCAGGCCCTACCAACCCCAAACACACACATGCTCTTCCTTCACTGTTGCAAGGAACTCCCACCTCTGCAAGGCCTCCCCTGCCTTCCCTCATGGCCATCCCACTTTGCCACTGCATTTCGAACTGAGTACTTGAATCTGAGTCCCATATCCTACCTGTAAGGGACAGAAGGGTCCTGTGTCTCCTCAGCTGCCTGGGCCTGGGAGGTGAGGCCTTGCAGTCCCTTCTGCTTTCAGCCTAGCACACTAAAGCTGGCCTTACCCAGGTGTTTCTGTGCCTCCTCCCCACAGCAGAGGCCTGCGTGGAGCCCCAGATCACCCCTTCCTACTATACCACTTCAGATGCTGTCATTTCCACCGAAACAGTCTTCATTGTGGAGATCTCCCTGACCTGCAAGAACAGGGTCCAGGTGAGGCAGTGGGGGTTCAGCCAGGAGGATGCAGGGGTGAGAGATGGGTGTAGGGGTATGATGTGCTCCTCACTGGCAGTTGACAGAGCCCAACCTGAGGGCCCATGTCGACAGAGGGACAATAATTCCAATTCACAGGGTGTAGCAGAGATCAGGACACAGCAAGGCCCAACCCTAGCAAGCGTTTACTGATCATTTTCCTGACCTCCTTTGTGTGCTTTGCCTACACACAGTAACATGGGGTGGATACCCCACTGTTTCCAGAATGAATGTCTGGAACATGATAAAGGGCCAGGGTCAGTTCCTAGGCCCCTCTGTCCCTTTTCTGGTTGCTGTTTGCTAGTGCATCTGTTTGGGTGTTTTTAAGGTCAAGATTGAGGAACCTTGGCTTCGGCCCCTGACCTGCATTTGCAAAAGTCCAAAGAAGGAACGTGGGCCTTTTTCTGGTACAATACTCCTTGGGTGGCCGGTTGCGGTGGCTCACGCCTGTAATCCTAGCACTCCGGGAGGCTGAGGCGAGAGGATCGCTTGAGCTCAGGAGTTTGAGACCAGCCTGAGCAAGAGCAAGACGCTGTCTCTACAAAAATAGAAAAAATTAGCCAGGTGAGGTGGCACACGCCTGTAGTCCCAGCTACTCGGGAGGCTGAGGCAGGAGGATCACTTGAGCCCAGGAGTTTGAGGTTGCTGTGAGCCAGGCTGATGCCACAGCACTTTAGCCCAGGCCACAGAGTGAGACTCTGTCTCAAAATAAATAAATACATAAAAATAAAAATACTTCTTGGGTGAAATACACCTTCAACAGCCATTTGGTAACCCTTGACCCTGGTACCTCCCTTGCAGGTTCAGAGAAATAACAAGGACATTTTTTTTTTTTTTTTGAGACAGAATCTCATTGTGTTGCCCAGGCTAGAGTGCCGTGGCGTCATCCTAGCTCACAGCAACCTCAAACTTGTGGGCTTAAGCGATCCTCCTGCCTCAGCCTCCTGAGTAGCTGGGACTACAGGCATGCGCCACCATGCCCGACTAAGTTTTTCTATATATTTTTAGTTGTCCAATTAATTTCTTTCTATTTTTAGTAGAGACAGGGTCTCGCTCTAGCTCACGGCAACCTCAAACTCCTGGGCTCAAGCGAGCCTTCTGCTTCAGCCTCCCGGGTAGCTGGGACTACAGGCATGCCCGACTAAGTTTTTCTATATATTTTTAGTTGTCCAATTAATTTCTTTCTATTTTTAGTAGAGACAGGGTCTCGCTCTTGCTCAGGCTGGTTTCGAACTCCTGAGCTCAAATAATCTGCCCGCCTCAGCCTCCCGGAGAGCTAGGATTACAGGCGTGAGCCACCGCGCTCGGCCCTCGACAAGGACATTTTGAACATCCCACCCCTGTTCACAGTTAATAGGCTTGCTGTGAGTCAAGTTAGATCAGGCCATAGGGGGGATATAACCCTGTCCCCTGTCAGGGAAGACAGACACAGACAGTGACAGTTGGTTTCCTAGATGGCTCTGGGTTGTGCCAGGCCTACCTCTGTGGTTCTTGCACGGTGCCTCCTGCCAGACACTCTGCAGCCCCCCGCTGGGCCTGGCCTCCCTGCCCACAGGCCATGGCGCTAGTCCAGGCATCACAGTGGGGCCTCTGCCCATACCAAGAGGGGAGAAGGTGATTCTCCCTTTGTCTCCTCACCCAGAACATGGCTCTTTATGCTGATGTCGGTGGAAAACAATTCCCTGTCACCCGGGGCCAGGATGTGGGGCGTTATCAGGTAAGGGGTGCCGAGTTCGAGGTTGTTGAGGGAGGCTGCCTGCTCATGGGCATGACTTGAAGCCCTGGGGTTGGCTCAGTTGAGCAGGGTCAGGGTTTGTGGGCTCAGGTACAGTGCTGTGTCGGCACCGGCAGGGAAGGCCCTCATGTGTCCACTCTGCCTACCCCCTGCCAACACACCCAACCCAGGTGTCCTGGAGCCTGGACCACAAGAGCGCCCATGCAGGTACCTATGAGGTCAGATTCTTCGATGAGGAATCCTACAGCCTCCTAAGGAAGGTGGGTATGGCCTAGAGTCTTCCGTGGCCTGAAGGAGGGAGGGCACATCCCATTTCCGCAGCGATCTCTAGCCTGCTCTCCCTGCGGTCCCTTCTCCCTGGAGCTTCGGCCCTCTGGGGGCCTTGCTTATGCAGGGCAGGATGGGCCAAATGGGGGAGGTGCTGGCAGTAAGTCCTGAGCCAGGTGGGCACCTTCCCGTGCTGCTGGCCCTTCCTCGCATGTCTCTTGCCCATTTCTCTCCTCTTCTGGGTCTTGGGCAGTGTTCCTACCTCTTCTAGCTGCCCCCACCCAGGCAGCGCATCTGGCACTGGCTGACCCCAGCACCTCCCTTCCAGGCTCAGAGAAATAACGAGGACATTTCAATCATCCTGCCTCTATTCACAGTCAGTGTGGATCATCGGGTGAGTGGCCTGGTCTCGGGAACAGGGAGCTCATGGCACATCTCTTCTTTTTTGGGGGGTCAGGGTTGAGTGAAGGTTCTCATTTCTCATCGTCTCTGCAACCCCAGCCCTACCTGCTTGGCCATGATTGGCCAGCATGTCTTCGTTCCCCTGATGGAGGGTGACTGGGGCTGGCTGGTGCATTTGCCTGTCCCTCCCTGAGCTGGCTTTTGATTTCCTTTCTTGCAGGGCACCTGGAATGGGCCCTGGGTCTCCACTGAGGTGCTGGCTGCAGCGATTGGCCTAGTGATCTACTACCTGGCCTTCAGTGCAAAGAGCCACATCCAGGCCTGAGGGCCACATCCTCAGTCCTCCCTTGCTTCTTTCAATAAACAGTCACTGGCCATCACGAACACATTTGGGATACAGGGCTCCTGGCTTGCATGCTGGGGCCCAGTATCCCCTTGTCTGCCTGGACAGCAGAGGCACTGAATGGGAAAGGGGCTGGCTTTGGTCTGGGACTCCCCTTTCTCCCCAAGTGAAGCCTTCCCCGTCTGGTCCCCGCGGTGCCATGTGTCTGCCTTCTCTGTATCTCCCTCCTGGTAGCCTGCATGGTTTGTGGGTGAGGGTATGGGGGTTGTCCCCCTCCTTCCCAGCACATGACCTCATCTAGCAAAGAAGACTCTGCTTGTTCTCTCTTGCCCCAGTCCCTGTGGCACAGCAGTGTCTCCATCTGGCCACCTGTCTGGGGCGAGTCTTCCTGTGGCAGCCTTGGGAAGGGCCCTTTGACCTTCCTGGCCTGGCTCAGAGTGGAGGGCGGGGAGGAGGGCTGCTCTACCACACCTGCCAGTGGGAGTGGCATTTGGCCTGGTCAGAGAAGGCAGAGGCCCTTCCCAGCTTCCCCCAAATCCAGCAGTCAGCACCACGGTCACACATGGAGACACAGCCAGCCTTGTCTTCATACTGGCTCCTGTGTTTGGAGCTTGGGCACAAGCCACACACTGAGGCACTTTCCGTGCTTTGCTCAGTGAGTGCAGTGAGCACCCCCATCTTGCTGATGTGGTTGAAAGTGGCACGTGAACCAGCTGCCTGCAGCACACCGCTGTCCTGGGGGATAGTCCCTGCAGACCCTGGCTGCTCAGTGCCACTTCCCAGTGTGCTTTTCCTTCCAGATGGCAGGTTAGAAAACACTCCCACGCCTCTTGAGGGGCCCATCACTCCCTCTCCAAAGAGTACCAGTGCTCTCAGGATGCCTGCAGGCAGCCCTCCTACCGGCCTACTTTATAGGCCTGGTGCATGCTGGGCACTGGCCAGTTGAATGGTGTTCCTTAGTGCCACCAACAGCTCATTAGGTAGGGCGCTGGGGTACAAAAGGGCCAGGTACGAATCCCAGGTGAGCCCTTCCCAGTTGTGACATTGTGACAGTGCCTACTCTAAGGTATCAGTGAAGGGTCACTGGGACCGGCTGGCAAAGTCCAGGCGCCTGGGCGACCACTCACCATGGCTGTAACTAGGGAGAAACAACCCTTCAGAGAGGCTGTACTTGAAAAGGAGGGCAGGGGCTCCTCAGTATCTAGCTCGCTCCTCTGCCTGGGCTCTGCCAGCACAGCAGTTGGAGGGGCTGGGGGTATGGGGCCAGCTTGCAGCCCAGGTCCGTCTGACAAGCAGTCTGTGGGAAAGTGGGGAGGCTCCTAGGAAGAGCTGGGTGCTCACCCCACAACAGTACAACAGGAGAGTTGGTGCTGGAAGTCCACTGAGGCCCTGGCCACACTAGCTTTGCCAGCTGATGGAGTTTCTGGATTCCAGAGATGGAGACCGGCGCTGGGAGCAATAGCTACTCCCCTCGCTGGCCAAGTAGCAAATGAGTACTGTTCTCAGTATTCTGCCAATGGCCTGTGCAGGGCCAGCAGGCAGGGGCCCACCAGGTGGGAGGCTTAGGCAGGGTGGAGCGGGCACAGTGGCAGCTGTCGATTGCCAAGTTGCTCTTTTTGGTCTGGCTCCACCACCCAGCCCGATGGCAGTAAGATCTGAATGTGAAGTCGCTGTTCTCAGGCATCAGTAGCCAAGTGCTGCCAGCCCACCTGGCGCCACTTCTTCCTGAGCCAGCCAAGGCACTCCAAGCTCTGGTCCTATCTTGGCCCATATCCTATAAGCACTGGAGGGTACCCCACCAGAGGAAGAATGGAGTGTCTCTGTAGAGCCATTGAAATGAGCCCCTCAGCAGCTAGAGAGGGGTGCCAAGGGAACAGTTTGCCTCAGCCTCTGATCAACTCCAGCCAGTTCTCTGTGACATGGGCCATGTCCTTGGAGCCTTCTCCTCCCAAGGGGCAAGGGCAGGGGGCTGGTCACTAGAGTTGGGTGTGTCAAGCCCTCTGCTGGAGAGGCCCTGAGAGGGGTGGCAGAGCCAGCATCTCCATCTGCTCCCCTGCCTCCTTTCCCAGCTTGCTGGGTGTGACCTGCTGGGCCCTCCCACACGGCACAGACAGATTGGCCTGCAGCCTTATGGCCCAGCCTTCCGGGCAGCAGAACTCCAGGCTTCCAGGAACAGGCTCTGGCATTTCTCACTCATGTTCTTCTCAGCATTTCATCTGTCACTGACTTGCTGCCCGGATCTTGGGAGAGGCCTGTTTATATCGTTTTCTTTCAAGAGAATTTTAATGCACCCTCGCCCACTCCAGCTCCTGTCTGTCCAGGAGACCAAGCTCCTTTATAGTAACACTGCCCCTCCAGGAGGCACCACTCACGCAGCAGGCAGCACCCATGTCGCCCCTGGAGCTGTCTTTGCCACCCACAGTGCTTAGCATGGCTCCGGCGCTTGGCAGATGCCCGATGGCTTGCTGTGCTGAATGGGACTGTGGGCATTTGGCAGCCCCTCTGAGAGTTCTTGAGACAGAAGGGCACTTGCAGCCACCTGGTGTTCGTCTATCTGGCCAAAAGACATTCACTCGGTGCCTTCTACGTACCTGGCACCTTGCTGGGCACTATGGGATCCCCAAATGGGAGAGGCAGTTTCTGCCTTCCGGAAGCTTGCAGCTCCTTGCCCTGCCAGGCCTCCTCCTGGGCCGAGGGGGTGGGGGCAGGGGTGGAACCCACTTGCCACAGGCAACAGGAGGTCGGGTACAGCCTCCCTCATCCACATGCCGGCAGCAGGCCCACCTTCAGTTCTGTCCATGGAGGTGACTGTGGCCATCCTGCATCTGGTCACCACCCCTGTGACTATGCCACACCTCCCACACATGATTGCCCACGGGAGCTCACTGACTTCAGAGGACCTCACTGTTCCTCAGTGACAAACTGAAGAGAGCTGGCGCATGGCTTTAAACTGGCCCTGGCCCTGCCCCACCTCTGTCCCCCACCCCCACCCCAGCAGCCACAGCGCGGTGAGAAGGAACACAGGGAGGCCTCCATTCAACCAAGTAAAAAGGCAGCTTGCTTTATTCTCGAGATGCAGGCAGGGGCAGGGGTGGCGAAGCCTGTCTGCCTTCAGCTGGGGCTCCAAGCCTGAGGGGCAGCCAAGTTCACCCATTCTGAACTCGAGGATGTCGGGGCATCCCCCCAGTCAGTCCACCATGTCACTCGGGCCCAGGCCGCGGATCGCCAGCAAGTCCTCCCAGGCCAGACGACCTGAGCTCTTCCACTAGTGCTCATGGGGCTTGACTTCTAGACCCTTGCTGTTGAAGCACCCTCCTCAGGCCACTCAGAAGCCCCCGCTCCGGAGGGTGTCAAACACAGACCCGGACTCTGCGATTTCTTCTTGGATGGACACTGCCCCTCAGTCCCTGCAGTCTCGCTCTCCCTTGGTCACTGGAGATGGACCTCAGAGTAGAGGCCACCAGGACAGCTGCTTCCCATTCCTCCCTCCTTTCCCTCCCCTCCCCTCCCACCCCCAGCCCTCCCTCTCCTCTTCCCCCCACCTCCTTCCCAGCCATCACTGGAGGGGGGATTCCACCTTTGACGGGCTGCCTGAAGGAGCCCAGAGCAGGTCCACAAAACAGAAGAACAACTATTGGCAAGCACAGAAGGGGAGAAAAACCACAAAAATCAGGGTTGCCTTTGTCTACAACTCACTGCAGCTCACAGCAGCGGGAAGAGGCTGTGCTCAGCGGTGAAGCTGGAAGTTCTCTTGTGCTTAGGACAGTCTTCCTCACCTCTCTTTTGCAGCTCAACTTCCCTGTCTCCAAGTACACAGGTCGGGAGAGCTCTGTGTGTGTGCGTGTGCGTGTGCGTGTGAGATGTATGCACATGGACACACACAGCTGAAGGGGTGCCTGTTACAGGTGTGCCCCCAATGATGGCCGCCAACACGGTCACTTTGCTTGGGGAGAAGGAAGCAGGTGATGCTAACAGAGCCCCGTGCACACACACAGACAGGTGGGCATGTGCGTGAGCACAGCCTGCACGCACATGGAAGCATACTCGATTCTAAGGAGTGAGGGCCGGGACCCAGGAGGCTCCCTGGGCCTGGGCCGGCTCCGCCAGGGCGGCTCACACGGTGGTGACTGAGAGCAGAGGGTTGTAGACCCGCTTGCCGTCAGCCGAGCGAGCGCCGTGGGCCAGCATCTCCTGGATGGTGATCCAGTTGTCCAGGATCTTCTTGTTCCGTTTCTTCATGGTCTTGCGGTGGCTCAAGGCGATGATGTTGAGCTCAGGCTTGCTGTCACTGTTCTGCTGCTCCCTCAGGCACTCCAGCCGGCTCTGTATCATGAATTCACGCCGCTTCCGCTGCTCCCGGGCCCGGATCAGGTGCTGCTTCCGCTCCTCCTTGCTCCAGTAGCGGCCCATCTTCATCTCACTCACCGCATCATCATCGGTGGTCATGCCACTGCGCTCTTCCCGAATCTTCAGGGCCCGGGCTTTCAGCAGCCGATCTCGCACGGGCCGCTTGGCCACATAGCGGGTCCCGTCGCTGCGCACCTTCACCTTCCACTCCATGCGGGGCACCTCGGTGGCCGCCACCCCACCCACCCGAGGACCACTGGCCAAACTCAGGGGACCATGGCCTAGCTCCTCCAGGCCTCGCGTCGGGGCCAGCTGCACGCAGCTGTGGTAGTGCTGGCTCTCCTGGCCCTGGCCGCGGTGGCGCCTCGAGAGGTAAGGGCTGCCTTCAGGGCCCACGCGCTCCAGGGCCACCCCGGCCTTGGGGTTGCGGCGGACACGCTCCTCTGCGTGCTGTCTCCGGCCCACCTCAGGATCCCGGGACAGAGATCGGAATTTGGCCGGGCTGCCCTGCGGAGGAGCTGCCTTCGGCGGGGTGGCAGCAGCAGGGCCAGGAGGGGTCCGGTTCAAGTTGCAGTTGCCAGCAGCGGCCCGCCGCAGGGGGCTCTCGAGTAGGGGCTCCATGAGCAGCGGGGTGCTGCGGCAGCTCTCCCCCGTGTTGTAGGCGCTGGTGCTGTCTTTGTCCGACTTCTCGGGCAGCTCGGAGATGTCGGACAGCTCGTGCTTCTTGGGCTCACTGGCTGCCAGGTCATAGAGGCTCTCCTCCTCCAGCAGCCAGGCCTTCATGCAGCGCTCCCGCAGCTGCTGCATCTTCTGCGCCCGCAAGATGTTGCGGCATTTGAATTCCAGGTGCCGAAGCTCCTCCTCCAGCATGGCCATCTCGTGGCCCAGGCTTTCGTTGCGGTTGACGTCCAGGGCACTGTTGCTGCCAGAAGCCCGAGGGAAGAGGAGGCCCAGCTGGTTGCCGTTCTCCAGGTGGCACTTGATCTCCAGAAGCTCTCGGTAGCGCTCATACTCCTCATCCGTGAGGCCCGGGATGTCGCCCCCTCCGAGCCCCGCCCCCTCAGCCAGCAGTGAGTCCATGCTGAAATGGAAGTCGCGGCTCTGCAGGACGTCCCCTTGCAGGCCAAACTTGCGCAGGCTTCCTGGGGTGTTGGTGGTGCTCGGGGGCTCATCCCCTAGCAGGTCATGCTCAGAGCTCTCTTCGTTGCGGGTACTCTCGTCCGTCCTGCCTACCCCACTGTCCAGCTCCTGACTGTTGCTCAGGCCTGGGCCCGCGTCGGGAGCCACCTTCTCCTCTTCATTTCCAAGCTGGAGCAGAAAGACAAGCATCACTCAGATGGGTTCCACAGACAGGGATATCACAGGAGGTCTGGTTCACTTCCTCACCACAGCTGGGAGACCCTGCACATCCCAGCCCTTTCCACCTTCTTCCTTCCCTTGTTCCCTCCCCACCAGCCACCCTCCTTCCTCACCTGTTGGGCAGGGGGTGGGTTCAGCTTCCGGGCACGCAGGTCCCCCTCATGCTCAGAGCCAAAGTCATCCAGGAAGTCATCCCGGTCACTGTCCTTCCACCGTCTCGCCAACTACAGAGACATGCCCTGGCTGTCCCCACAGCTTCAAGGACCCCCCTAGACACCCTCTGGTCCTCTCTGGGCTCCATTCTTGGCCCCCCGGTTTCAGTGAAGTTGAACAGTCCAAGGGAAGGAGGTCCTGGCCCACTCAGCCATCAGAGGCTAGAAGGGGAAATGGGCCCTGGGACACCCCTGCCATGTCTGTGCCCTAGTCTCGGCTCAACAGCTTCCAAGACAGAAAACCTGATGACAGGGACCCCGGGTCACTCTCCCAGGCCCACGCACCTGGCTCTCAGGCCGGGCCACCAGCAGGGAGATGTTGGTGTTCTCCTCCTGGCTCAGGATGGCCACCGCCTCTTCCCGGTTCTGGACATCCACGCCATTAATCTGTGGCAGGCCAGGGGACAATCAAAACAAGGATGCTGGGGATGGCCCTGGGGAAGGCCCTGGGTGGCTGCAGGGAGCCCAGGCACACTGGACTGAGATGGGCTCTGGGAGGATATAACTAAGTGGAGGATGCCAGGGAAAGGACGGCCTGGTCCTTGCAAGAGCACTTGTGTGCTCAGAGGACAGCATGGACTGGGGACCAAGGGAGTTGGGGAGGGGCCAGAGCAGCACGTATCCTAGATCTCAGCAGATCCTGCCAGCACATGGGAGCCCTTGGGCCGGTTGAGCAGGAGAGAGATGAGATCAGCCCAGGTGTGGGGCATGGTATGGGGTGAGGCTCCTAGTGGAAGAGCACTAGGAGGCAGCTAAGGAGAGGTCACAGGGCCGCCTACGAGCCCTCACCTGGATGATACGGTCTCCCTCGCGGATCCGGCCGTCTTTGGCTGCAATGCTGTTGGGATTTACCTGCAAGACACACACACCTTGGGGACTTGGTGCCTAAGGTGCCCTTTCAGTAGGAAGGGGCAGCCTCACCTCAGGGCCCCCAAAGCATGCCGAAGGCTCTCTCTCACTCCCACTCCAGCTTAGCGCCCAGGAAGCAGGAGCAGAAGGCAGCGGGCTAGTGCTTCTCCCCGGCCCCTGCCCAACGCCCTGGGCCCCACCCCCAGCACTCCTGAGCTCTCTTGCACAGAAGCCTGTTGCTTTTGTCAGCCTTGAGGCTCAATGGCAGTAGGATATTTTCCATCTGGAAGGTTGACTTCATTGGCATGCTGCTAGTGTGCAGGGCAGCTGGGGGCCACCCCCTCCTGTGGATACATAAACATCTGCCCAAGACACAGGGGAGGAAAGAACAAAGCCTGGCCAGGACCTGGTCCTGGTTTGTCCTCAGTCCTGGATGCTGTCCCACCCTGGGCTCAGGTCTCCTTCTGCAGACACATACTGAAGCTATCAGCTGCCCTGGCCTCGACACCTGGAAGCCAACCTGTGATGCCCTATCTTTGGTGCCTGGGACCTTATGGGCAGCCTCCGAGCCCTGTGTGGGCCACATGGAAAGGCCACGGGGCCAGGGTGGCATGGGGGCTCTTCCTGGGCCTGGCCCTGCATTGGCGCTGCCTCCATACCTCTCCAACGTAGATGCCCAGGTCCTCTTCGTCATCTGTGCGGTAGCACACCATCAGGCCCAGCTTGTCTTGGTGGCTGCTTTTATACAGCTCCACCTCCTGCCGCAAGGAGGATAGGAGGAAGCAGAGGCAGAAAGCCCAGGAAACGTGTGAGCAAGGAAGCTCCTCAGCACCTCACCTTCTGCAGTCATCTGAACTAGGTTTCCAGCCCCCGGCTTTGAGGGCTTCTCTTACCATCCCAAATGGCGCATGTGTTCCATGGTCTCCCCTACCAGCAAGTGCCCAAGACACACACAGACGCACAGGACACAGAGGACACAGACATGCATGGGACGTGGACTCACCAACATGGACAGAACGCACGACCTCACCCATGCCCTCCCTGACTCAGCCAGACGGCCGCCTGGGGACAGCAGGAGCCAGGCCCGAGCAGGGCTGCACACAGCTGCCCTGGGTGGGCTCCTGAGGATGCCCGCAGGCCCTGGCCCAGCCGCCCGGCTCACCTCATACTCCAGCTCGTCCATACGGTCTGCCTCCTGCGGGCCGCCCTCCATGAACTCCGCCGGGTCATAATACTCATGGCTGATGGGGGGGCTGCCCAGGAGAAGGTGGGGGTCAGGCCAGCCATCCTCTCCTCTCACACCCTAGCCCCGGCTCCTGGGATGGCTGGTCTCAGTGCACCCAGCCTGGAGCCACGATCTGGGTGCACTGTCCAGGGTAGGTGGCCCAGCTGCCTCCTCTAGAGCTGTCTCCTGAGTTACGTGCAGCCATGCACAGACCAGGAATGCTTCCCAAACAGTAGTGCGCCAGGTCTGCATTGAGGACCCAGGCATGCCTAGCTCTCCCTGCCCCATCCCCCAGACCAGACCCCTCTAACCACACCAGCCAGTGCCCCACCCGCCCAGCACTGGCCCCACTCATGCAACGCCCCCAGGAGTTAGCCAGGCCCCAGAGGACTTCTGCAGAACAGAGGGAGACCCACTCTACCTCCAGGCGCTGCCCTCTTGGCCCCAAAGCTAAGGTTGGCTGCTCAAGGCCTGTGGCCTACCTCTCTGCAGAGCAGGGGCATCCCAGGGCCACCTCCCTGCAGCTGGGCTAAGATTAGCAGAATGAGGCAGCGCTCACGCGGTCATGAGCCACCAGCCTGGATGAAAGGCCCCTGTTCCGAGCAGGCCAAAGAAAGAAGCCGGAGAGATGGAAGAAATTCAGAGCAAGTAGAGGAATGGGACAGACAAGGGATGCAAGAAGATTCAAGGAGTGATGCTCATGAGGCAGAAGACGATGGGCACAGAAGAGGACAGAGCATGGAGGAGGAGGAGCTAAGGGCCTCAGCCCTGGCCAGCTGGGTGGCGAGAGAAGCTGCATTTCCAGCAGTGATGGCCCTGAGGGTAGATAGAGCAGGAGCCTGCCTGGAAGCCTCCTCTTGGCCCCTTCACCGGCCGGTGCCAACCTGAGGCTAGCAGCCTGGATCTTTCTGAGCCCTCACGTGCCACGGTCACTTCTGGAGGCCGAGGAGCCTGTTCCTTGCCTGAGAGAGGCAGGCTGAGTTGGGGTCTCCCTGCCACACCCAGAGCTGCATCAGTGCAGCCTGTGGGTGGTGTGGGCATGGCTGCCCCAGGTGACATGCCCTCTCTGGAGGCAGGGCCCGGGGCCCTCCTGAGGGCGACTCACAGCTCAGAGAGGACGTACGGCTCCAGGATGGCCATGGGCGGGGTGGGCGGGCGCAGCTTGCCCAATGCCATGATATGCTCGAAGGTGATGTCGGTCTGAGTGCCACTGTCCACCAGCTGCAGGTCGTGGCAGGAGCTGTCCCCCCGGAGGCGGGGGCTGCGTCTCAGCACCTGGATCACTAGGGGCTCCTTGGAGGAGCGCAGGGCCTCCAGAGTTTGCTCCTGAGACAGCTTGGAGAGCTCCTTCCCGTTCACCTGTGGCAGAGACACGCCTCCGTGAGAACCTTCTGGAGGGCTGACAGCACCCCTGTCTACTCTCCACCCACGGCCCTGGCTACCCTTGGTGCCCTCATTTCCAGGTGAACCCCACTGCTCAGCCTCCACCCCATGGAGTGCTGTCTGAGGATGGCTGGGCCACGCCAAAGGCCTGGGAGAGCCGGTGTCTGTGCACTGGGTCTGGAGGCTGTGCCCTCACCCTAGAACATCCTCTAGTCTCTCCTTCAGCAAGAGCCATCCACAACGATTCTGTCCTCCCTCCCACCAGGACCTGCTTCTCCTTCAGGCAGCACTGAGGCCAGAGCTAGCATCTAGAAGGTCCCAGAGAGTTCCTTGGCAATGACTGAACAATACTAGCTAACCCTCAGTGAGTATCTATGTTGTGCTCATCCAACATCAAGGCAGGAGGATGATCTTGACTCCTGTCCTGGTAGGCCAAGTCCATCAATAAATGTCTACTCACTAGGGAGGCCGGGGGCCAGTAGGGGACGAGTACGGAGAAGCATAAAGAATCAGAACGCAGTCCTGTGTGCTCATGGCTGTCACTGACTCCCTGACGAGAAAAGGCCTTGACACACAAGAAGCCTCCTGGAATTGCAAGGTGGCCTAATAGAGGTGCCAAGGGAGTGACCCTTATAAAGCCACCACAGTTTCCTGGGCACCTGCTATGTACCGGGTTCCTAGAAGGGCACCACATATGGGTCCCCATCAAATCCTAACCCCCAACAACCTTGAGGGAGATGCTGTTATTGCCCTCACTTTGCAGATGCGGAGACTGAGGCTCAGCAAGGCAAAGGCACCGGGTGAAGGTCATGAGCCAGGACCGGATGGAAAGTGGTCAGAATGAGGGGCAGGGGGGCAGGAGCCCCTCACGGGCTGGGGCCCAAGGAAGCGGCAGCACTGGAGCAGCTCTGCAGGATGCTACCTGCATGGAGGGCATGGAGGAAGGAGGATGGAGGGCCTCCCAGGCCAGGACGGGGTGGAACATAGCCCCAGCTGGGTGTAGCAGGGAGTGCCCTTGCGGCACCCATGGGTAGAAGGCTGGCCCCAGCCCAGCCACTGGTTTCTGCAACAGCCAGTGTGTGTTGGGCCCCAGGATGGCATGTTGTGACCTTGAAGTCCTCCTTGGGGAGAGGAGACAAGTAGAGATGGGACAAACAACTAAGGACTGAGGAGAACCGAACAAACACCACTGGAATTGAGGGCACATGTCCTGGGGCTGGCAAGGGAGAAGCAGGAAGCACTTTCCAGAGGAGCTTGCAGGGTCTTCTCATTCGCTCATCAGCCACTGGAAGAGTGTACCCAAACGGCTATGCCTGCCTGGAAAGTACTGGAACAGACCTTACCCGCTGCTAAGAGAGCACAGGGCTGGCCACACCCACCTAAGAGGGAGGTAGGGAAGGCTCCCTGAGCAGGTGGCAGTTGGCCTGCCTCAAGCACAGGGAGATGGGCCAAGAAAAGAGGTGGGGGCTGGTTTGCAGGTGGGAGGGAAGCCCCCAGTCAGCATGGAGGAAATGTAGAGTGTGCCTGAGGACGGAGCAGGCTGGAAGCCCCTGTGGGACACAGGGAGAAGGGCCCTGCTCAGGCACAGTCACAGGCTCTCTGCTTTGCTGAGTTGTCCCAATATTAGCAAGTTTACAAGAACCCCTCTGTCTCGCATCCTCATAGTGGCACCTCCCTGCCTGGGTTTCTCACGCAGATGCCCCACCGGACTGCAGAATCCTGTTTTGGTGTCTGCAACACAACAGACCAGCTGATTTCTCTGAGCCCACTTAACCCAAACAATTACCTTTCTTCTATTCCATTATGTCCTTGTAGATAATAATTTAAGTTTTCTATGTCTCCCCCTCCCCCAAATTTTCATGTTCTGAAAAGAGATTTTTCTTAAAATGAATTTTGTCTGATTATAAAAGAAACACAGGTTCATTGTAGAATGTCTGGAAAAATACAGAACAGCAGAAGGAAGCAAACCAGAATTGCCCACGTCTCGGGGGAGGAGGCGCCGTGAATGTGTGGGCACGTTTCCTTCTCGTCCTTCTCTGCGTCTCCCATCTCACAGCAGCCGTCCCCACGGCCCATCTGCACCAGCGCACAGGGGGGACCACCGCCTGCTTCCTACTGTACACCACATCACTAAAGTTGTTTTCAATTTTTTATTATTATAAAGAATGTAGCAAAGAAACACTCTTGGGTCCATTGTGTACATTTTTCATATGTAAATCTTTGTGTAACCTGTGGTTGTCACAGTGGAGAAAAGTGGTAACAGCTTTCAGGAGAGGAGGCATTTGTTGGAAGAGCACAGGAATGGCAGTTGGGACAGGCTGGGCTGTGCTCGCCAGAGAGGCTGCAGTTCAAAAAGCAGGATGGAAACGAGGGAGAGAAGCAGCTGAGTGTGGCTTTGGGAAGGCTGTAGACAAAGAGACGTGAGGAATGGCCTCGAAGCCCTCAGCAGCGGTCGCTGGAGCTGGCTGTTAAACACAGCCAGCATCAATATTTTAACTGTAGACACGTACAACTAACTGAATGATTTTTTTTTTTTTTGAGACAGAGTCTCACTGTGTTGCCTGGGCTAGAGTGAGTGTCGTGGCGTCATCCTAGCTCACAGCAACCTCAAACTCCTGGGCTCAAGCGATCCTTCTGCCTCAGCCTCCCGAGTAGCTGGGACTACAGGCATGCGCCACCATGCCCGGCTAATTTTTTCTATGTATTTTTAGTTGTCCGATTAATTTCTTTCTATTTTTAGTAGAGACGGGGGTCTCGCTCTTGCTCAGGCTGGTCTCGAACTCCTGAGCTCAAACGATCCGCCCGCCTCGGCCTCCCAGAGAGCTAGGATTACAGGCGTGAGCCACCGTGCCGGGCCAACTGAATGATATTAACAAAGACAATAAATACTCAAAATTCATCCCTTTCTAATTATTTTACTCCACTTTACTGTCATCTATGCTCTTGGGGTTATTGACATGTCATATGTCTGGAAGGTGGCAATACTCTAAGATGTATCTCTTCCTAACTCCAAGTTCAGTGACATCACAGCATTGGCTTGAAATTGGCTATAGTGGGAGTATTTGTGCCAAGGAAATCGGCAAATGCTCCAAATCAGGGTTTTTTGTTTTGGAACATTTACCAGCTACCACCATCCTTAAGTGGAAGCAAACACAGAAGCTGTCCTTAGGGTTTCCCCGGGGCAGGACAACGAGCATGCAATGGGGCACTCAGGTGACACTGAGAACGCAGGAATGTCTTTCTCCCTGGAATCATTACCCAGCAGCTGCGTTGCTATGGAAACTGGGAAGAGTGTGCTAGGCAAGCTGGTGGAGGCTGGGATGTCAAGAGGGGATTGCGTACACGCATAGCCTCGGCCCCTCAGATCACATCAGAGTGATCGCCTGTGACAGTCAGGCAGGCTGCCCCTTGGCCCAGGCAGGCTGTGAGCACAGGCAGAAGCAGTCCCCAAGCCTCCACTTAGAGACATGCCTGTGCAGATCATGGTGGGCCCCAAGAGCTGATGGGGGTGGGGCAGAGACAAGCTGAAATAAGGAAGAAATGAGCCCCAGAGCCCAGCCAGCACAAGGAAGCACACTGGCAAAGCCACCACCAAAATGCCCCAGCTGTCACATCGAACTCAACACTTGCAAACCTAGACCTACCTCCCCCCAGATTCCCCTCCAGCCGCTCCTGCAAATGGCTCCACACCCTGGGGGCTCACCCCACAAAGACACGGAGGACCTGGTCCAAGGCCTGGCCAAGCAGTTCTAAATGGATCAAAGATCTAAAGGGACAAAGCAAAACAAGAGAACAGTATCTTTATGGTGTTGGGATAGAGAAGAAATTCTTAAGATAAAAACTGGGCAAACAATAATGGAAAAGACGTAAACCTTCTGGACAACAGTAAAAAGACAGGCTAAGAGAGCAGGGCCCTACAATGCACATAACTGGTAACAGCTTATCTAGACTATGCAACGAATTCCTACAAAACACTAAAAAAACACAAAAAGCTCAAGAAGAAAATGGGCAAAGGATATCAACAGGCATTCAGGGCAAAGGGAGCCCACACCGACCAACACACGCTTGGAGTGATGCAATCAGATGAGATGCCCTGAGGACCCTCAGGTATGAGAGAATGAGAACGGCTGACACCAGGCAGCTCAGAGGCCCAAGAGGATGTGTGCAGCCACATGGGCCTGGCAATGGTGGAATGCATGGATAAAAACCTCCTGGTGTACTGGACTGGTACATGTGATTTATGCAGGCACATGTGCTTATCAGTAGCATACAGAGTAGAAAAGAGGCCTTCGAATAACAAACACTGAGTCCTCCAGGGAGGGAGGGAGGGACAGGGAGGGGTCAGGGAACTGCCTTTAAGACTTTCTTAAAAGGAAAAACTGGGAGGCCAAAGGGCCCTAATCCAGGCTGGGTGGGAGCGCACGCACTAAATGATGCTGAAATGATGCCCTGCGCTTTGTGCATTGGAGCAAGTCCAGGGGTCTCAAATATGTAAGCCAGAGTTCAGTTGCTTTTCCTGTCTGTGTCGGGAGGGGTCTTGCAGAGCAGCTGGATGGAGCCCTGAAGCACCCAGCATCTCAGGCCTAGCCTGGCGTGGCTGACGCTGGTGAGCTGGGGGAAGCCCCCTCCTCACTGTTAGTAAGGGCTGCGGGCACTCCAGCTGTGTGTGGGGGGTACCCATGTGGGAGTGTGGGTAGCAGGTGGGATATGAGTTGGGTGAGCTGCGGGGCTCCAGAGGTAGGTGGTGAGTAGGGTTTGAGGGCCTTGGGGTGGGGTGTGAGTGGGGTCTGGGGCATGGGTGGATGGTGTGGGTGGGGGTGGGTCTGGCCTCTCTGCCGAGTGTCGGCCTGTGTATCTCTCCTTCTTCCTCTCCTCCCTCTCAGTGCTGTGCCCACTGCCCCTCTGGCATGGCCATCTTCTGTCCCTCCATCTCTCCCTGCCTGCCACTCTCTCCCTGTCCCTTTCTCTCTCCCGCG